AAAAATGGGGGGAGAATAGATGGATCACATAGAAAAAGAAAGGTAAATAGCAAACAAAGGCACAGGTGCGGGAAAATCCAGCGGGAGTTGCTGGGCCAAAACAGCAGTTGCTGAACCCGACCGTCTGGGTCGCGAGGTTCCTGCGCCGGGTTGATCGCCTCCTGATCCGTGACGCTACGACCAAAGGAAGGAAAGAGGGAAAAGAGAGCAGGGCAAGCCCCCGGAGGGTTGGCCAGCTAAGCCCATTAGCCCAATCCTTCTGCTCCCCAAATCCCAGGAATTGCCGGGGCTTGCTGGCACTGCTGGGGACTGGCTCCCTCTCTCTAACCTCCCCCCGGAGATCCGTGGGCTGGCTTGCCTTTTCCCTTCAACTTGCGTTCTATGGAAATCCTTCCAGCAGCAGACAACTGACTCCATACTTTAAGATTGGAATAGTATGTTTCCCTGGATATACTATAATTGTTTATTGTTTATCATATTTCATTGTATGGAATCGAGAAGACCAGCGCCCGTAGGATAGTATCTAGTAGTAATAAGTAGCTACTCATAGGCGACCAGACGTAGAAACCGCAAATGAGCTCATCTCCTCCCAAACTTAAGGTTCTGGACCTCGAGAGCTGCCCGTGACTCGCTCACCTTCTGCTTTCGTCCCCTCCTCGGCTGCTCCAATCTTTTCTGCTGTCCGCACCAACTCTCCGTCTTCCCTCTTCACTTTCAGCCTGCCCTCTTTCGCAACCCCGCCTTTTTTTTTTTTCTTCTCTTCCTCCTCCTCCCTCCAGTCTATCTTCTGGTCTGTCTTGTTCTAGCTTCGGGTTGGCTTGCAGCTTCATAGCCGCCAATCATTTAGCACTGCGGGTTCCTGTCCTTGTGCTACCTCCCAGGATAAAGCGGTCATCATTGGGGAACCTGTGGTCCTGCGGCCGATCCGTGGAAGGCTCAGCGATTCTCCCGCATTTTGACAGCTCGTCGCTGCGCCTTACCCAGAGTTCAATCCTCACTTCACGAGCTTCACGTCTACACTGTGCACCATCCGCCGAACGACGCGTGTACATTCATCCGGTTCCCATTAGGAGCCTGTGTCGTTGTCCGAATCTAGACTCGTGATAGATTGGGTTTGCCTGTCGCGAGTCTTGTTGCTGCAGTTTCGGGTATTCACCCCGCCACTACTTCCTCGACTTTCGCCTTCTTCAACGTGATGAGCGTCATGTACGCTCTGGACGATCGCACACATACCGCACCGCCTCCCCCGCCGCCGCTCTCGATGGATCGTATTCCACCCCCCTCCTCCTCATACCCCACTCCGGGCTCTGCAGGCGTCGCGTCTGCCGGCGGGATACCGCCGTCGAGCCATCTAGCGCCGCTCTCCACCGTTCATGAAAATCGTATTTGGTCTTTGCAGGTGGTTCAGCAGCCGGTTCGCGCCCGGATGTGTGGCTTCGGCGATAAGGTTGGTCTTGCTGTGCCGTCCTTGAACTGCTCTTTTTCCCGCCTTTTTAGAGGTAGCTGACTGTAGCTCAGGATCGCCGGCCAATTACTCCTCCTCCCTGCATTCGCCTGGTTGTCCGAGATGCTCAAACTGAAAAGGAGATTGACATTAAGTATGACGGTATCAAATATCGCTCTGCCGAGGATCGGTGCTGACCGGCCATTCTAGTGAGATCGATACGTCCTTCTACGTGCTCATGGTCGACCTGTGGAACGCGGAAGGGACCAGCGAGGTAAACCTCGTCAAGCATTCCGCCACTTCTCCCTCGATATCGACGGCCATGTCCTCCTCATACCCCCCTCCGCCGCATAGTGTCTCGCCTTCTTACCCGCCCTACGCGCAGAATGCCTACGGCCAGCCTGTTGGATACCCTCAGATGAACAATTACTACGGTGGCAACCCCCAACTACAGTACCAGAACCCGTATGGAGCGAATCCACAAGCACCCTATTACCAGCCTTACTATGGCGGCGGTCACATGCCGCAGGCCAACATTTCCCCGGCGCAGCCTGTGGCCTCTGGCCCTGGCGGCATGTTCACGCGGAACCTCATCGGCAGTCTCAGCGCCAGCGCGTTCCGCTTGACCGACCCGGAAAACAAGATCGGAGTGTGGTTTATCCTGCAGGACCTGAGTGTCCGCACAGAGGGCTCTTTCCGGTGAGTGCAGTTCTCTGAGCTGGTCGCGTTTGGTGAGGTACTGATTTATTCCTGCAGTCTGAAAATGAGCTTTGTGAATGTGGGCAGTCAGTCCGGCGATTCCCCCAACGGGGTATCTGTGATCAACCACGGCTCTGCGCCAGTGTTGGCCTCTGTGTTCTCGGAGCCATTCCACGTGTTCTCGGCCAAGAAGTTCCCCGGTGTCATTGAGAGCACACCGCTGAGCAAATGCTTCGCCCTCCAAGGGATTAAGATTCCCATCCGCAAGGATGGAGTAAAGGGATCTCGCGGGCGCCACAGCGACGGAGACGACGCCGGGGACGATTACGACTAAACCAGGGTTATTTGCTAATTAGGGATACCAATGGGCGATGTTTTGTGTTTCTGGTTGCTTTTTGCTCACGTTCTTATATATATATATACGGGTCAGGTTGGACGCGGGGTTTGGTTCTGCGGTGTTGGTGATGGGCTCTTTCAAACAGGATGGGGGTGTATTGTTACTATCTGGGCCGGTGTCACAGGGTTCTTCGGGTTCTCCTGAATCTTTTTATTTTTTTTCTTCTTGCTACGTGATATTCGATTAATGCTGCCTTGCTTTCGATTCGTGTGACTTGCTTTATACGAAGTGATGGTTTCGCGCCTGGTTCTACGGTCCCGCGCACAACGGTTAGAGGCGAAAATGATCTCATCTTATGGGGACTATACTGTATTGCATTACCCTAGGAGAATGTATGAATGATAGCCGGATAGCAGTAATCCATTGCTTTTGTGCTCTGCTCGCAATTCCATCAACTCCGACTAGGTTAAAGTTCTGTCCGGACAAGCGCAGAGACTCGACTAGAACTCGACCGGACGAACCATCGTTCAACCGAGACCAGGTCGCCTCTTCCAGTTCGTATTGACTGTGGCGGTGCGCAACGTCGACGATGACGTCGATCGGCCAGGTGCTTCCATGGGAGAAGTGGCGGGCGTCGGAAAAAGGCCGCTTCGAAGCTCAATCTTCAGCAGAGAAAACCTTCGCAAGGGATGATGCAGGGTTTGGAGTAAGTAAGATCGGGCTTGTCCGACCGACCAAAAAAAGAGCGAGAGAGTAGTCAGTCAGAATTGGGGCATCGGATCTTCGGGTTCCGGGTCCCTGACTACTTACTTTGTACCTAGTAAACTGCTAGTTTACTGGACGGTCCTTGTTTTTCCCTAAACTTCTGGCATTGATTGGAGATGATCGTCGTTCTATAATTAAACGGTCGCCAACGGGGCCCATCAACCTTTTCGCTTCCTTCTACTTTGTTTCTTCCCTTGCCGTGTCTCGGAGCAACAACTGAGACAGGTCGTTTAAACCGGCACGTCATGAGCTCATGGATTCCCCAGTTTTTTCCCTTCAATTGAGCCACTCTGCATGGCTGGTGAGGGTCTTCGTCTCCATGCGGTTTCACTTTAGTGCACTGAACTAGGAGATAGTAAGTGGGAGACCTCTTCTGATAGGTTTAGGGTCTGTTATTCTCTGACGGCTCGTGCCGCTTTTCCCTGCGGTTTTTGGGCTGTGTGGCAGGGTTGAGATGGGGATGACTGCTGGAGGCGATGTTGTTGCTATCCATAGTGCACCGTAGTGCCTTTGTTGTGTTTCTTGTGATGGAGGAGGCCCTTGCTCGACTGACCACTCTGATTATTTTTCCTTTGGAGCTCACCCCACTTAGTTTCTCTAATAGTAACCGGTTGACCTCATAGTCTGTTCATCGTAGGATATAAATACGGCTTCACATCCTGCTTCCTCAGTCTCTAGTATTCACACAAGACATTCGTTCTCAACCATTTGATAACTTTCATACATCCACCATACTATCTATCTCTAATCACTATCATCTTTAATACCATCAAAATGAAGTTCACCCTCGCTTCCACCCTCCTCCCCCTCCTGGCCGCCGCTGCCCCCGCCCAGCAGCGCGACTCCAACTCTTCTACTCCCTCTACCTTCGGCATCATGTCCGCCCGCTCTGGCTCCCCCATCCACCTCCTCCCCTTGAACGCCAACAGCGGTGGTTTCTACCTGGGCGGAAACACCTCTTCTTACTGCCCCATCTCTTCCGGCTGCCCTGCTGGTACTGAGACCGTTTTTGCTGGTGATGGCTCTGCTTTGGTACGTCCCATGTCCACACCCATCCTCTCACCCTGACCCGATTCCCCCCAACCCCTATACATAGTAAGAATTACATACTAATGAAATAATAAATAAACAGGACGTCGAAGTCCCCGGCGGCCAACAAGTCTACGTCGCCCCCAGCGGTGCCCTGACCTTCACCGTCCCCCACTCGGCCTACATCCCCGCGGGCTCTTCCACCGGCCCCTTCAAGTACACCCCCGGCAAGCCCTTCGGCACCTGGACTTTCACCGGTGCCGGTGCCACCGGCTTCATGGCTTGCCCGGACGAGGGTAACAAGTGGCAGGTCTTTGCTGCTACGAAGAATGCTACCGTGCCTAGTGGCAATGTTGAGGATTGTCTGGGCTTTGATGCCCTTGCTGTTGCTACTAATGGTTCCGTTGCTGCTTGGGAGTATATCTAAGGTGGTAGTACTTTCTGGTAGTGGTAGTGTGCTAGTGGATGGGGTAGAAGGGGGATGGGGGGTATATAGTTGTGGTGTATATAGAGTGGAATAGTAGGGTTTGTGGTTGTTTTGTATATGTATGTATGTTAATGTCATTAATGATTCGTTGATGTTGTGATTGATTGGGTTTATTGCAATATTTGTTTTAAGTTATTTGGTGGGAGTATGCTGGGAGTATAGTTGTTATTGTTATTATGATATTGTCAGTCATAACAGTGTCATGCGTTCTATAGTATAATACGAAGTAAAGTGGTAGGTTAATTCCTCCATATCCGCACCGCCTTGTCCTTCCCCCCACTTCCCACCTTCTGTCCATCCGGACTCCAATCTACCGCAAATACCTCGTCCTTGTGGCCCGGTAGATCCTCTTGCAACTTGCCTGTCCGTACATTCCATACTTTCAGTGTCGTGTCCTTGGACGACGAGACTAGTAGCCGGGAATCGGCCGAGAAGCAGCACTGGTACACGGCGCCCACGTGGCCGCGGAGTGTCGTGATGAATCTATCGTCTATTAGTTTTTGTATATCATTTTTGAGGCTGTGGTAAACTCACTTTCCGTCACGCGCGTTCCATAGCTTAACGTGGTTGTCGAAGCCCGCCGACGCAATGTACGCCATGTCCGGCGAGAACGTCACATGGTTCACCTCCTTCTGGTGTCCCAACAGTCGCGCAACGGGCTTGCTGGAATTCCCAGGTTCCCACAGGTACATGGTGAAGTCGTCACTTGCGGACACAAGCTTCTCGACAATCTTGTTGTTGATGGTCGCCGCCTGCTCGAACCGCTGCTTGGCTGCCGCGATCTTCTCGGCATCGGCCTGCGGCACCTTGCCGGTGTGGTCGTGGTAGGCAGTGCGGAGGACAAAGTCGGTAGACAGGGCCAAGTGGTTGACGCGGTGGGCGTGCGCAGAAAGGGTCTGGATCAGGGTGCCGTTCTGCGCATTCCACACCTTGATAGTCTTGTCGTGAGATGCAGTGTAGATATTTCCGGTTCCGCCCCAGCGGACGCAGGTCACCGAGCCCTTGTGCCCGGTGAGAACGGTGTCGATGCGCTTTGAGACCACGTCCCATATGCGGACCGTCGAGTCCTTGGATGCGGACGCCAGGCGCGGCCGGCCGGGCTGCTGAAGATGGTATGGCTCCCAGGCCAGACTGGTGATCCATTTGGCGTGTCCCTTCAAGGGCGCGCCCAATGGGGTGCCCTTCTTTGCGTCCCAGAAGCGCACAGTGTTGTCCATGCTTCCCGTCGCAATCATGGCGCCGTTAGGCGAGTAGCTGACCGCCAGCACCCAGCTGGTATGTCCCTTCAAGGTGTGCAGAGGCGTTCCAGTGTCGCAATCCCAGACGCGAGCTGTGGAGTCACCGCTGCCGGTGACCATTGTGGATGAGTTGACAGGGGAGAAGCTGGTCGCAAGAATTGCCTCGCCGTGTCCGGCGATCGAGGCGGAGCATCGCGAGACGGCCTTGACGCGGAACACGGCCTGGGGAGTGAAGTAAAGATGTACAGTATCTTCGGTCGTCTTCAAGCCGGGCTTCAAGAGGGAGTGATACAGGTCGGAGAGGATATCGATTGTCTGGTCGTTCTTGTCTTTGCCATCGGATTGGTATGTGAACCGGTACGGTACTCGCTCATCTTCTTCCTGCGGCGCAAAAACCAATTAGTCTCTGTAGATGTTGAACAATGCCTCGCAGCATACCTACATTGCCTTGTAACGTATTCAACAGAGTCTCGAGATTCTTCACACTGGCATCAGCGACTGGAACGGACACCGCCGGCCCGGTCGCAGATCCCGTCGCCTGGTCGAAGAATTGCACACGAATGCTACCCAAATTCTCTGGGATACTCTGGATCTCCTGCTGCTGACGGGCCCGCTCAGCGGTCTCCGTCCTCTGACGCTTCGACGGGGGAGGTAGAAGAGTCGCCATTGTGCCGCTCTTTGTTGGATGGTTTTTGTCGTTGAAGATTTTCGCCGAAAAAAAAGATAAAAGATAGCCGTCGCTATCGCGGGGAGTCTATCGCCGCTAGTCCGCTTTCGGACGGCAGCTCTACTATATCCTGCATCATTCTCTACTATATCCTGCTGCTCTTTTCCTGACCACCAATACGCAGAATGTCGGCTTCATTTGTTCGGAGTTCGTCCATTGGAGCTGCTAGCTCTGTTGCTCCCTTTTCCAGAACCAGCACATTCCCCAGAACTACGCCGAGGCCGACGACAACGGCAACAAGCGTTGCATCCCAGGACATCATCTGCGCCGTCAGTGAGTCCAGAGGCATCTCTTCCACGGTTGGCCTTGCTTTTGTCAATCTAGCTACTGCAGAGACAGTTCTGTGTCAGATCTGTGATAGCCAGACGTACGTTAAAACGGTCACGAAGATCGGGGTATTCGAACCGACTGAGATACTGTTCGCAACCTCTGCCAAAGAATCCAAATTGTTCTACATCATACAAGAGAATATCCAAGATACTACGTTTACCTTTATAGATCGCAAGTTCTGGTCGGAGAGAGCTGGCCATGATTATGTAGACCGACTCGCCTTTTCTGGGGATGTGGAACCCATCAAGATCGTCCTGGGAGGGAACTATTATGCTGCTTGCTGCTTTGCTGCGGTGAGCACTACAACCGTCTGGCTAACCCGACTAATTTATGTAGGTATTGAAGTATGTCGAGCTGGAGCTGAGCAGAACCTTTACCTGTCACACGCTTCGTATCAGGTTTGAGCCTTCTCAGGGATCCATGTCAATTGATCTATCCACCATTGTCTCCTTGGAGTTGATCCAGAATATACACAATGCGAAATCGAAGGATAGTCTCTACGGACTGCTCAATGAGACCTTGACACCTATGGGTGCAAGGCTTCTCAGAGCCAACGTTCTTCAGCCTTCAACAGAAGAATCCAAGCTGCAAGCACGATACGACGCTGTCGAGGATCTGTCTACAAAGGAAGACATGTTTGTCTCGGTGAGACAAGGTTCGCCTATAATCCCGCTATATACAACTTAGTCTAACCATATCAAACGTAGCTCTCAAGGGCTTTGTTGATGCGGACAAGGTCCTTACTTCTGTACGTGGATTCGACCGTTTCTGATAGCCTGACTGACGATCCAGCTTATCCTTGTGCCCAACAAACGTGCCTTCCAATATGTTGAGCAGTCTGTCAACAATGTTATAACGGTCAAGACATATGTCGGGGCAATCAAGTCGGTTTGCAAGGCACTTACGGCAGCTGAGAGCAGTCTTTTAACAACCATAAGAGAAGTAAGCGTATGCTGGTGCTGTCCTAATGTAGCTAATGAATATACAGCTATGTGCCCCGGCAGGCCACCGGGCTGTCCAGCAGATGATTGAAGAAACCCTCAACGAGCATGTCACATACCAGACACGTCCACTTGATCTCAGGAACCAACGCATCTACTGTGTCCGGGTAAGTCCCTCGTGCAAGTTCCTCTGCAAGCCTGACATAGTTTCTCTAGGCTGGTGTGAACAGCCTTCTCGACGTCGCTCGACAGACATACAAAGAAGCTAATACAGATGCCGCGGATCTGGTAGCAGAGCTAGCAGGTCTGTACATTGATTTCGAGGCTGCTCATGTCTAACATTTGTAGAAACGCACGGTATAGCCCTTGACTTGAAGTTCGACAGAGCTCGCCAATACTACATTAGTCTCCCAGCTACAGCAATCGAATCCTTGCCAGACGTCTTCATCAACGTCTATCGCAGAAAGAACCGTATAGAGTGTCAAACACTAGATCTCGTCAAGCTCAATCAGAAGATCACAGATGCACACAATGAAGTCATCAACATGAGCGACGAAACCGTGCAGGAATTGATCCACGACATCTGCTCAGAGATCTCAGGACTCTTCAAAGTAAGCGAAGCTATTGCCATGCTTGACATGCTAGCAGCATTCGCCCAACTAGCAATATCGCACGACTACATCCGGCCTGAACTGACAGACACTCTCGCAATTAAATCCGGACGTCATCCAATCCGCGAGAAGATACACACGAAGAAATTCATCCCCAATGACGCCTACGCAACACAACAATCGCGCTTCCAGATCATCACAGGCTGCAACATGAGCGGAAAATCCACCTACATCCGCGCCCTAGCGCTGATGACCGTAATGGCACAAATAGGCTCTTTTATCCCAGCAGAATACGCATCATTCCCCATCGTCCACCAACTATTCGCACGAGTTTCCACATGCGACGACCTCGAAGCAAACGTATCAACTTTCGCCGCCGAAATGCGCGAAATGGCCTTCATCCTCCGCAACATCGAACCGCGCAGCATGGTAATCGTTGACGAACTAGGTCGCGGCACCAGCACAACAGACGGCCTCGCCATAGCAATCGCCATCGCAGAAGCCCTCGTAGAAAGCCACGCATTAGTCTGGTTCGTGACCCATTTCCGGGATCTCGCACTGATAATGGGCGAGCGCAATGGGGTCGTGAGCCTTCATCTCGCAGCCGAAGTATCTGCCGATGCTTCAAAGATGACCATGCTCTACAAGATAGCCGAAGGTCCGATACAAACCAATTCTACGGCCTCGCCCTAGCAAAACTCGTAGATCTCCCCCCAGGTGTCCTCGAAACCGCCCAGCAGGTATCAGAGAAACTCAACCAGCTCGCTAAACGCCGACACAGCAAGTCCAAAGCCCTGGCAGTGACTCGTAGACGGAATCTGATCCTCTCACTGAAAGAACAACTCCTTCTAGTCCGCAACGGAACTATGGAAGGCGAGACCCTTCGGAAATGGTTGAAGCGACTCCAGGATGACTTCGCCTTGAGTATGGCTGCTATCGACGAGGATGCGGCCTGTGCCAGCGATGAAGATGCACCGGTACCCAGGGGAGTCTATGAGGACACTAGTTCTACCGGGAACCTTCTTTTCGATGATGAGGGCCTTGAGGTCCATCATAGCTCTGAACTGGGAGAGCCCTTTGCGCAGACTGCTGGAGATCACCTCGACATTCCTGAGTCAGAGGACCCGCTCAACGACTCTAGTTATTGTATATCACGACCATTCGCTCCTCCCTTGGATGTCTCTGAAGGGGATACAGATGGACTTGCCGCATCACCTTCTCAGCATGACAGAGATGATTCCACAACTGACGATCAAGATACCGCTTCCTCCATGGATGAAGACTCCTGACCGGCTCATCCCCATCAAACAAAGTATGACTCTAACAGTATTGTATTGTATTTGTTTGTTTACATCCCCGTATTTCCAACCCCAGATTGAAATGTACCTATCTCCACCCGCCCCCTGCATCAACGGAAAGGAAAGAAAAGAAAAAAAGAAACCATCCCACTAGCTTTTATTTACCTCACGAAAGCAACTCTAGAAGTAAAAGACCATTTTCGCTCAAATACAAGCTGAACAAGCAACGACATCATCAACAAACGTAGGACCCAGAACCGACGATGCATAAACACAAACCCACGTCATATGTGTAAGGCGAAAGAAAAGAAAATGAAAAGGAAAAAAGAAACAGTAGAGTGGTGGGGTATGCATCGTCATCATCATCCGAAGTGGAACAGAGTCTGCTTCCCCTTCTTGTTCTTGCCCTTCTTGCCACCGGCAGGGAACTCGGGGAAGTCATCCTCTGCATTGGACGAGCTAGCACCGGCGTCGTTCCGAGAAGCCCAGGCGTTCGCGGCTGGCTTGTTACGATCTTCCCAGCGGACGGTGCCGCGAGTCAGACCTGCCATGAGGACGTTGGGCTTGGGAGCAGCAGGGAGAGCAGGGAAGGCTTCGGAGCTGGTGGCGTTGACTGGGCGGGCCGGGGCGCGCGAGGCGGAGCGGGAAGAGGTAGCGCTGCTGAAGGCAGAAGTAGGAGCTGAGGGAGCTGCAGCGGCGGCGGCGCCCCAGGGGGTAGTGGCGGCGGGCTTGGAGGTTCGGGGGGTAGAGCGGGCGGTGGTTGAGGAGAGAGGAGGGAAGGGGTTGGCGGCGGAGGAAGAGGTGGATGAAGAAGGCATGGCGCCGCTTCTGCCGACGTAGGAACGGGAAGACTGGGCTGTTGAGGATTTGAGGCGCAGGACACGCTTTCCGCCCGCTCCGCTGCCGTTCACGGTTCCTGGGGACATGCCAGGGAGCATACCGCCGGGGCCGGGCAGAGCCGGGTAGTCTTCATTGATGGCACGCCAGTCGTTCCAGGCTTTGAGGAGCGCGTTGCGCTTGCCTTCGTCTTCGTAAATCTCGGCGAGTTCTTTAATGAGTTTGCCCAGTTCGGTGCTGGAGGTATCGAAGAGTGAAAAGAAGGCGTCAATGAGTTCAGTGGCGGAAATGGAGGAGGTGCGGTAGCTGGAAACTCGGGCACGGAATTCCTTGAGCTTGTTCTGATCGTTGCCTAGGAGGTTCGAGGCTCTTTCAACGACGGCTGCATGGCGGAGACGGCGGGCTTTCTCTTGAGGAGTAACGGAGGCCGAGTCTGCGCTGAGGTTGAGGTTCTCCATCTCGGCAACTGGAGTGGATGCGGGAGGGGTCTGGGTGGGTGTAGGACGAGCCGGAGCACGCACAGGCTGAGTGTCGTTGCGTGTTAATTGGCCGCCGAAGCTGCGGGTCGAGACGGATTGGGCACTCTGGATGGCCATTTGGCGTTGATAAGCAACCTCGTCTCTTCTCAAGGGCTGAGCGCTGGAGACAGGCAAAGGCTCCGCGTTAGGATCGCGTCCACGACCAGCACCCCGACGCTGGCGCTGAGGTTGGTAAGGAGTTCTGTAATCAAAGGTTGACAAGTCAACGGTGCGAGCGTCACGTCTGGCGTCCTTAGAAAGGCCGTTGGGATGACACTCAAGTTGATGTGCCTTGAGATCCATCTGGGACTCGAAGACGACGAACTTCTTCTCGAGACACTCGCGGTCGAGACAGAGGAAGTGGTCTTTCTGGAAGTGGTCTTCGAGAGCGTTGTAGTCGATGTAGTACTGTTGTTGGCGGCCGCCGGAGCGACGGTCACAAATGTGGCATCTTTCGTGACGGTCACGACAATGTGCGTATAATTCGTCATCGCCATAGAACCGTTGCCGGCAGAAACCACACTCAGGATGACCTCTGAATCCACTCTGGTCTATGGCACCAGGCACGTCATCTCCATGCTTCTCGTGCTTGCGCAACTCTGCATTGGTGAAGAGCTCATGTTCGTGCGTGAACACTTTCTTGTTCCGCGTGCAAAGATCACTACAACATTGAAGTTAGTATGCGCCTACACAGCTCATCACATCTAACTGTAAGAGGAACTTACCACATCACCCTGCCATGCTTGCTTTTGACGTGGCGATGCAGGTCAGGCCATCCCAAGCAAGCTACATCACAACCTCTATCCGGGCAATTGTACCGCAACAACAGTACTGTGTCTTCAAAGATATCGTTGTTCTCGTACTTGATCCCTAGGTTTTCGTCCATCTGCGAGAAATCGGAGTCCTTGAAATCCTCATAGCGCTTGGCATGGTCATCCGTGAAGATAACATAGTTGGATTCCGTCTAGTCCAAAGCGAATGTCAGCGCAAAGCCACGACCAAGACCAAAAACGATGACCAAACGGATCACATACTCGACAATGAGCACAAGCTTTATTCTTATACAAGGCCCTCAATCTCAGCGCACAAATATGACAAGTCCGGTGATTACACGGCGAGACCGAGGTGTGGTCGACCTTCGAAGCACAAATGAAGCAGACTTCGCCGTCATCGTCATCATCAGACTCTTCTGTCGTGACAGGCTGCTTTCCCTTGCCTTCTGACGCTGTCGGAACATTCGCATCACCCTGTCCACCTTCAGCAGCAGCCTCCGACTTGTTCCCCGAGCGATTCTGCTTGTCCCGTCCTCCGCCGCCGCCTCCGCGACGGGGTCCCTGGCCCCTAGATCTTGCACCCCTTCCAGCGCCATCATGAGAATGGTGATGGTGACCATCGGTGTGTCCCGGTTGGCGAGCAGCTCCAAAGCCTCCTCCGCGGCCTCGTCGACGGCCGCCCCGGCCTTGGCCTTGCGCTCCGGGAGCTTGGGCGGGCTGGGATTCGGACATTGGAAACGTGGAAAGATTGAGGGGCGGTTACTCGGAGTGATCAGCGAGGGTGATGTTTGGAGGACAGTGCCCAGAATTTGCTCTCTTAGGAGGAGAAGCGCGTCGCGCTTTGGTGAGCCTGTGCGACCAGACAGCGAATTTCGGCGGAGGGGTGATAAGCCGGCGTTGCTGTGGAGGGACCAGCTTTCACGTTACGAGCGGCGGGCAAAAAAGTTGGATCGGCGGCATGCTTAGTGAGCATCGCTGTCCAGTTTCTCTCCCCGACTTATTTAATTTTCTTAATTGCGTTAAGCCCGGTAGGGGGGGCACATAGGTAATTAATTTACTGGTGAATTCAATCTAGTTACTGATATGACTCATTTTGACTCATTATCGCTCATGCAACTACAAGGCAGATCATATGTGTGGCTTAGCCATGGGATGCATGCATATTACTAGCCCCTTCGGCTACAACTGTACTGGCTGCTCGTGCGATAACTGAGAATGTATCATGCAATGACGCGATGCGATGTACGTAGCCAAATCAATAAGCGAATACGATCTCTAGGTAGCAACATCCATCGCGCCTGTCCACAAGGCAGCACCAACTCCCGCTGGAGAGAAAAGCAGGTCAACACAAGGAAAGATAAGGCAATCATTCGCCAATGAGCGTAGCAACAAGTGCGAAAAATATCAATATGAGAAGCAAATAATAAAGTCTTGGAGCAAAATGAAAGAGAGTTAGCGCCTGGGTTCCAAATGCTGTGTAGTAAGCAAAAGTCGGGGAATCGTTAAGGCAACGACTTGGTCGCTGCGATTGCCTTGTCCGGAAGGCAAGAGTTCGCGTCTAGATACCAAAGATTATTCATCGGGACTATACAAGTTCTGGCTGAGGATTTTAGTCATCGTGAACATGTGTATGCGATCTTGCTTGAACACGGCACGCATCGCGTCGTCACAGCGAATTTGTCGCCGGTCATTGGGATCCTGAAGATCATGCTCGTGGATGTATTGCCAAAGCCGCTTCACTGTCTGCGGTCGCGAGAGCTGTTCGAATGTCAGTATGTCTTACCTAACCGGAAATGGGAATAGCAGCCATACCGTCACCTCGCCGTCCAACAAAGCCGAAAGCGCTGGGGAAAGATTCAGGGGTTTCTAGACAGCCGTCAGCACCAGTCACCTCCATTAGGAAGTGTTTGCAGCATACGTGAAACCCGCCAGATCTGTTGACCTTCTTTCCTGAGTCCGAGCCCGATTCCAGTTCCGAATCATCCTCAGCCTTCACTTTCTTGGACGTCTTCGCTTTGGTAGGCTGCTTCTTCTTCACGGGCTGGCTTCTGCGTGTACTGGCTCCGCGGGTTTGGCGCGCACGCATGTTTTCCTCGGCCTGGAGTTTGGCTGCGAACAAGGCATCCGCATCGATATCATTGTCGGGCTTCTTCTTCTTGATAGGAGGGGTCTTGCTTGAAGTGTCCGAGCGCTCTTCACTCTCCGCTTGGCGTTTCTGCGACATGGAAGATTGAGCCGGAGAGGACGGCTCAACAGGAGTCACCGAGTCGTGGTCTTTCCCATGGCCATTGGTGGAAGCAGATGTCGCTGGTGTCTCCGATGCGGTTTGAATGCCCTTCTGTGCCGCACAGACGTCGAAGCGCTCCATGATAAGCTGCTTGATGGCAAGCTGTATGAATAAAGTTAACATTAGCATTATATTTAAGGTCTACCGCCGTGAATCAATAGAGCAAAGAGCAATATGCGACAATAATGAAAGATCGGGGGCGCAGACCTTATGCGGGGTAAGATCATAGCCGATCTCATCCTGAAGGCCGTTGCGAATAGTTTTTGAGGAGATGGTAGTCAAATCGCTTTTGGCCAGAATTGAATCAATGATCGGAATGTATTGATCGCGGGCTTCTGGGGATACTATTGCATGGGAAAAAGAAAAAGCCATGATGTCAGTTGAGAGCGATCTCGGCGTGGAGCAATCGACCGGGAACATCAGACTTCCGAACTTACGCGACATGGTGGACCGGGTTGCTTTGCTTTGCAGCACCTCTGCAGGAAACGACACGACTGAATGAAATTTAATGTTGTCAATTGCTGACCGGACTCAATGTAAGAGTTCGGAAGGCTATCAGCAGCGGGATTCAGCTCGAGGTGGTCGTGCACTGAGGAGGACCGTCTAGATCTGGGCGTAGCGCTGGCGCTTAGGACCGGCGGGGCATAAGAGAGAGGAGATACGTAAAGGCCCCAGCAGGAAGTAGAACAGGGAGAGAGAGAGATGGATCAGACAAAACAAAGGGGAGTAAACGAGGAGATCGTGACGGCCGGCCCACAACGACCAGCAGCTATCACCCGCAGCAGCAACGGAAAGCGGGACGATGCGTGAGGATCGCGAAATGTTATGGCTGGTCCAAGCCGATTGTACAAGTCGGTTACAGAAGACATAATCAGCCGGGCGAGAAGCTGGGGGCGGGTGGCTTAGATAAGCACCATCACGTGGTGGAGCTGGAGAAAGAATAGGCAGTTTACTAGTGGTATCGTGAGAAATGGTCATTTACCGTCACTTTACCGCACGGAAAGTGAAAGCAAGCAGAGACAATGGGGAGATGACTCAGCCCTGACTCAGCTGCCTTCGCACACAGAAGGCGCTTGTGGTTTGGGATTTGTTCTTTTGCCCTAAAATCAGCCAAATCGGGGTCGACCAGCAGAAAATCCAGAACAGCATCTTTCATCTTCAAGATCATACCCTCTCCACCCTCACCCCCCCATATCGCCGTTCGCTGCGACTGCAACCATGGCGCCCAGTTTTGACACCCTGTCTGAGCAGGATCTCCACGAAGAGGAGGAGGAGGAGGTTGACTTCTCCGGTGAGTGCGCCTCGCGTTGTTGTCCCATCATCCTCTTCTCACCCCGTTTCCCCCGTGCCCCTCGCCGCTGACTCCGCCCGATTTTCTCCATCCAGATCTCAAGGAGCAATATGAAGTGAAGCTTGAGGAGGGTTTGGACACATTTGTTGTGATCGATGGACTTCCGGTCGTCCCCGAGGAGAGCCGGCAAAAGCTCATCAAGTTCTTGTTGAGGAAGCTCAACACGGTCGGCCACACCTCGGAGGATGCCGTCTTCATGCCCATCAACGACAAGAACATGTCCGAAGGGTATGTTTCAACTTAGGAAATTCGATTGCGGTTGGGAAAGGTTGTGGAAACATTAACATGTCGTTTCAGTTTCGCCTTCGTTGAGTACGAGACCCCCGAACAGGCCGTCGCTGCCGTCAAGCAACTGCACGGTGTACCCCTCGATAAGAAGCACACTCTCGCCGTCAACAAGTTGATGGATATCGATCGTTATGGCCGGGAAGGACGCATCGACGAGGAATACAAGCCCCCCACCATCGAACCCTTCAAGGAGAAGGAGCACCTCCGCTCATGGCTGGGCGACGCCAACGCCCGTGACCAGTTCGCCCTTTACCGTGGCGACAAGGTCGGTGTGTTCTGGAACAACAAGAGCAACCCCCCGGAGAACGTCGTCGACCGCGCGCACTGGACTCAGCTTTTCGTCCAGTGGTCCCCCAAGGGTACCTACCTCGCCTCCGTCCACCCCCAGGGTGTCCAGCTCTGGGGTGGTCCCGCCTTCTCGAAGCAGAAGCAGTTCCCCCATCCTTTCGTTCAGCTGGTCGAATTCTCGCCCGGTGAGAGCTACCTGACCACCTGGTCTGCCCGCCCCATCCAGGTGGAGGAGGGCCACCCCGTCCTGACCTACGAGGAAGACGGAAAGAACATCATCATCTGGGATATCGTCACTGGCAAGCCTCTTCGTTCCTTCGTCTCTCACGATCTGACTGCCGGCCCTAGTGCTGAGGGCGAGCCCAAGAAGAAGGTCCAGTGGCCCGCTTTCAAGTGGTCCGCTGACGAGAAGTACGTCGCGAGAATGCTGCAGCACCAGTCGATCTCGATCTACGAGCTCCCCCGGATGAACTTGCTGGGCAAGACTTCCGTCAAGATTGATGGTGTTATGGACTTCGAGTGGTCCCCCGCCACCGTTGTCCGCGAGGGTGTCAAGCAGTACGAACAGCTGCTCTGCTTCTGGACTCCCGAAATCGGCAGCAACCCGGCCCGTGTCGCCTTGATGAGCGTTCCCTCGAAGGAGATCGTCCGTACGCGTAACCTCTTCAACGTGTCGGATGTCAAGCTGCACTGGCAGTCGCAAGGTACCTACGTCTGTGTCAAGGTTGACCGTCACTCCAAGTCCAAGAAGTCCATGGCCACCAACCTGGAGATTTTCCGTGTGCGCGAGAAGGGTGTCCCCGTCGAAGTCGTCGACAGTCTCAAGGATACCGTCATCAACTTTGCTTGGGAGCCCAACGGAGGACGTTTCGTCGCCATCACCACCGGCGAGGCCCCCAGCGGCACCGCCGTTCTCCCCAAGACCTCCGTCTCTTTCTTCGCCCCCGAAAAGAAGGGTGTCTCGGCCGGCAACTTCAAGGTTGTCCGCACCATTGAGAAGAAGACCAGCAACGCCATCTACTGGTCTCCCAAGGGACGTTTCGTCGTCGTCGCTACCGTTCACTCCCAGACCAACTTCGATATTGACTTCTGGGATATGGACTTTGAGGGTGAGAAGCCCGAGGGTGAGAAGGATCTGGCCGCCAACCTGCAATTAATGAAGACCGTTGAGCACTACGGTGTTACGGATATTGACTGGGATCCTACGGGTCGCTACGTTGTCAGCAGTGCTAGCGTGTGGACCCACTCGGTATGTTCTTTTTTCTTAGTATCTTGTCACGACTGCGTTACTGACATGTTTTATGTAGATGGAAAACGGCTACAACATTCACACCTTCGCCGGTCAGACCCTCGCCGAACACCCCACCGACAAGTTCAAGCAGTTCATCTGGCGCCCTCGTCCCCCCACTCTTCTCAGCAAGGAGGAGCAGAAGCAAGTGCGCAAGAACCTCCGCGAGTACTCGAAGGAGTTCGAGGAGGAGGACAAGTACGCTGTCGACATTGCCAACACAGCCGTTGTGGAGACGCGCAAGCGCGTGCTCAACGAGTGGACTGCCTGGATCCGGAGGGAGAAGGAGATGCTTGCGGAGGAGAAGGACGCCTACGGTGTGCCGGAAGACGTCGACTCTTCCAAGCAGGCCAAGGATGCCCCTGCTGTGTCGGAGGACCAAGGCGAGACAGTGGTGGAGGAGATTGTGGAAGAGATCATCGAGGAGAACGAGGAAGTCATTGGTTGATTGGGAAGCCAGCTTCGTATCTAATGTGTTCTATTCCATCCATTTCCTTTTCTTTTTCATTTCTTTTTATCCTTATCTCGCATCTTGTCTGTCGATATCCTCGCCCTTTTTTCTTTACCTATCCTCTCTGAAGTCCTCACACTTCATCCTCTCTTCTTCCCTGTGAGACTTCATCTGTGATCCATTTGGATTGGTTCCAGCGCGCGCGTGGGGGCGCCTGTGTCTGGAGCATTTCAAAAAAAGTGAATAGAATCTGTGTTTGCATATTTCTTTCCCGAGCGTGAGGGGAAAACTTTGATGTGCATGATGTTGGTAGCAATGAGAGATGACAGACAATGATGACTACTGCAATCATTCAAGTTCAGTTTATACCACTTCATACTATCTCAACCAATTACCCAAAATTAAAACTATCCAGAAGTCAACAACACCAACCACCACCCCAACACAACCCACCATAACCCCTTTATACATTCAACCCTCTGAGCCCCATTCCCAGCGGACCCCGTATTATACGGTCCAGAATAAGTACTCGACGGCTGCACATTAATCTTAAAGAACTCCTTATCCCCCAACTTCTTTTTCCCCCCAATGATATTACCCCTAGGCGAGTATTCACAAACGACATACCATCCCTGCGGTCTCTCCGTTCCATTGATCCCACCTCCACCTCCTCCTCCCGCTTCACTTCTCTTCCCATTCCCATTATCATCATCATTAGTAGTATTAGTAGTATTATACCCACAATCAACAGCCGCACACCCCACCTCCCTCGTCTCCCTCCACACCAATTGCGTAAAATGTCCCGTCTCCTCCGTGAACCCCGTCGGCTCCTGGAAATTGTATTTCTGTACTTCGTCGCCCCAGGCCGCTACGGCGGACGAGACGTTGGGGTACCCGAAGGCGAGGTTTTCGCCGTACGGGCCGTTCTGTATGTACATTATTTATTAGCCTTTTTTTCGTTCTTGTGTTCTAGTTCCTATATCTTGGGGGAAAAGGTGGAGGGGGGTTGGGGGAAGAGTACTATACCGAATGCTGCCATTTACATTCCTGTGCCCAGTTCAGGGCGTATTGGGTTAATGTCGTGTTCCAGATTAGGTCGCTTGCGTTGTGGGCTTTGCGGTAGGTGTTGCTGACGTCTAGGATAGAGGATTGGAAGAGAGCCGGGGAGGTGTAGGAGGGGGGTTCTTGCGTGGTGGTGGTGGTGGTGGTTGTTGGTTGTGCTGTTGCGGTTGCGGTTGTTATGATGGTGACTATTACTGTTGCTTTTGGTTGTTGTTGTTGGGCTGTAGTGAGGGTGATGAGGAGGGCGCTTAGGAGGATTATGGTAGTTGTAGTGGTGAGTATCCTTGAGATTGTACGATGGAGCATGATGATGATCTCATATAATGTTATGCGAGTATAGAAAGTTTAGTATAGTATGTGAGAGGATATTTCTCATGACGAAAATGTAGATTGTATAACTGATGGATCGCAGTCAGTCAGCAATTGTCAGACTGAAACAATGCAGTGGTGAGTGGTGAGTGGTTGTGGTTGTGGCGCCAATGGCTTGGTTCCAGGTTGAAACACATTGCTTCTTCTTCCCTTTGGCTCGGGGTGGACAGTTCTTTATGTCTCTCCTGGCTTATTATCGTCATTGCTTGGAGCTTATGGGCTGGATTCTGGGGGTGGGAAACTGATGTCAGGAATTAGCCGGATAGATTTAGAGTTTCCTGGAGATGCGATCCGTCGGGTGGGTAAAGTCGTTGTATGAATGATGCAACTGGTTGGTTATTAGTAATAACCTAATTGCCAAAGAGATTACTAGTACTGTGTAGTTTGTTGCAGTCTTCGTGGCTGGCTGGCTGGATTGGAATTGTTGTATGCTGGTCATGTCAGCTTTGATGTTGGGTAGATTTTGGATATACGGGTCTGGGTAGTAGTATCAATCTGTGGCTCTTTCCTCTGCTACTTTATTATATCATCATCTGTCTATTCTCTAACCATGAAAATGGCAAAGCCCTGGGGTATTAGTAGCTCTATATACACCGTATAATCGTAATGCTGGACATATTCTTCACATAACGTTGCACCCAATTCCATACATGGCTCGTTCGACGTCTCGTTTCACTTGGTACCAATCCGCCCGTCGCTCGGCGAATTCGTACACTTCCTCCACTCGCCAAATCCCATTGAACCGGTCCGCATCGGCGATGATGGTGGCAAGCTCTTTGGCATCAGAGGGGTCGATCAAATAGATCTGCGATAGTTCCCGGAACGCCTTGAAGTAGAGGAGAAGGTCGTTGTTCCTGAACGTCTGGATGAATTTGAAGTAGTGATTCATATCGCTATAAGAAGTCAGCTTCGCCATTAATCTCAGAGACACATAAAATCCTACCTGATGAGCTTCAACGACCCCTCAGTGCTAATCCTCTGCCGCTTCAGGTGCTTGCATAGAGCAGCAAACAGGCGGAGCCCGACCTCTTGGTTGAAGACATCCAGCATACTCTTGTCTGTGCTGCCAACCAACATCTGTGTATGAGAAGAGACCACATCCACCACGGCCGCTGCAGCCTCGGTGATACTGACGTCCATCGTTTTACGATAGGGGTCAGTAGAGACACTAGGATTGAAGTCGGTCGCCAATTGTCTCGTTGCTAGAATGTAGTCCACTTCTTCCATAAGAACGTCGATTCCTTTGTTAAGCCCAGCAGCGACCCGTTCATCCAGGCTCTGCTCGAACTTTTTCTTTTCCTTGACGGCCGGGTCAAGGAAATCATTGCGGTCCGTCAGTTTGGTGCCGATAAGTTCCTGTTCATAAAAGACATCGATCATCTGGAGAATCAGATCACCAACGTTCACCAGCTCCAGAAAGGTGACCAGCGGCTCAACGCCAGATTGGTCGCGTTCTCCTTGTTCGCGCGGCCTGTAGTTTGACAAGTGGTCCACGGCCTTATTAAACCCACCGATCAAGTGACGGTTTCCTAGAATGCGCACGAGGGCGACGAAGACCGCCTCGCACTGTTGTTTTGCAGCAGCTCCATATTCGCCTCTGATCTTCACAAACTGCGCGGCTCGCTCCAAGCTGGACTTTGCCGCATGAACCAGACTAAGAGCAACTTCTATGCTGAAAAGAGATCGAATACCCTCAAGTTTAGACTTCATGATCGCGGCTTTTGCCGCAAGCTCTGTGGTTGGCGCCTCCATAATAGGAGGCGTCGTGGGCGACGCGATGGTTGAGAACCTATTGGGACTCTTCAGTGACGAGGAGTCGCTGGCGGTGGGTTCCGATGGTGCCTTTTGCTCGTTCGCCTTGTTTCCTGAAAAGCTTGGAAGAATATTGACGGGAGCCATAATAACCTTCTTGAAAGAGGTTAAGAAGTCACGCTTATCAGCCTGCCTATTGATGTTCGACATCAAGAATGACTCCGTCGAGGCTGCCTGCTCCGATAGCTGTCTATCCCAGTCCCCCACGGCCGCCTCAGATAATTTCCGGAAATGATCCAATTCCTCTGCGAGATATAAGTCCATGTGAGGTACATAGGCTTTAGCAATGACATGATCCATGAATTCATCAAAACTGTCGTCCAAATTCTGAACTGGCAACAATGTGTCCGAGAGATTAAGGCATTGAGCAAATGTTCCTGAGACGGCAGTCAAGTAGGACTCGGTATTTGAGCCATGTAGCTCATCAAAAATGGCAGTCAGGAATGGGTAGAGCACATCCTGCCCAACCTTTTCGATAAACGGTGTCGATATTTTCATCGAGGGGGGGAAAGCACGATTGATGATCGATACTTCCTCGTTATAGGCCACACTCAGCCGAGTGAAGAAGGCCTGCGTATGTTCAAGTTTAACCCGTTGCGAGAAAGGATCAATGCAGTCCGAGACTTTGCCGAGATCTGATTTTCTGGTAACGAGATGGTTGTGCTGTATGAAGAGTTCTACAGCTGCCTCTCCGCCGTTCAACGTGTACAAAACGTGGGCATATTTTCGCATCCTGTCATCAATATCCTCTGTCTCGTATGCATGTCTAAACTCCTTTATGGCCGATATTTCGAACATCGACACAGCAGACTGCAATTGTTCAAGCCGTCCACGCCAGCCTTCGTCTGCATCGCATTCGGAGAAGGATTGTAGTTGCGACAGTATCTGCGCTTGGTGCTGTGGATCGGTGTAATTCTTGAAAAGCAAGCTATCCGGAGAAGGGCCGTTCGTAACGATGTCATTGTAGTATGGTGCCAGCGCTGCATGTACCTTTCCGTACTCCTGGCGTGCGTCTCCACGAACAGACTTGACTTGTTTCAGCGCGCCGATGACGGGATCACTGTCTGATCCATCCGATATATCAGCATTGGCCGAAGTGGTTAGATTGATCTGGTCGAATCCGTCAGAGATCGATTGTAAATCGGCCCGGGAACTCCGTGAGACGTTGGGTGCAGGTTCGCCGTGCGGTGCTTGCGCATCCTCAACCTCTTGCTGCTCAACCGTTCGCACATCTGCAATAGTTCCGAACGTTTCTTCCGTATGCTTTCTTGCCTCCACCTCGTCCCAACAACCCATCCGTTTCAGTTTCTGCACCCATCGCGTGTCATCGTATGCCATCTCGCGCAGGAGTTTGGAAGACCGGGCTACTCGTATGAGATCGACAGGGGAAAGGTAATCAAGGATTGAGGACATGATCTCTGGTCATTGTTAGAATATCCTGCAGTGAATGCGATCCATCTCCCCGTTCGGTATTTACAGTTGAGACGTACCTGCTGGAAGAATGGCCCTGGAGATTTCTTCCATCGAGGCCATCTTGAGGGAAGCCAGAACATCCTTGCGCGGCTTCACGCCGGCACCTGGCCCAGTCCTCGCTTTCTGCATCTTGTAATTTCACAGTCGGCATCGGGAGGGACGTCGAGTTAGTCCGTCAAAGGCTCCAGAAGCTCAGCGCGGACAAGCCGGTCAGGGTCCCAGCGTTCCCACCGACTAGCTCGCTCCGCGGGGCTGCCCCAATTAGTCGAACGTAAACCCGAGTAATCGAGCGACACCGGAATTGCTGGCAAAAATGGGGGATCATGAAACATCGGTTCGCATGGCGGAATCATAGCCCCTAAATCTGAGGAATGGAACAATCCACGGCGCCGAGCAATTGCGTCGGTTGGTTGTGGCAGTTCGTCACTGTGGGCGGAACACCCCAGAAATTCCACGGTTTGGATCGGCCGGCTGCTTACCTTTCCGCTGGTCTGCTCCGGAATTCCAACTCACCCCAGTAAGCAGTATCACCACCTGTTTCACAAAATCCTAACAACGGTCCGAGTAGGTGCAACATGGTTAAGTTCTTTCGATGAACATCAAATTCTGAAACATCCGGTAGGTAGTCATGGTGATCCGTTCGCAAATATTCCCCAGGGTCTGCCAGTGGGGCGAT